AGCAATAGTGGCAAAGTAGCAATAGCCAGTATTGTTTGAGGCCCTATAGGTTGTTTTCATTTCCTGGCTATTGTGAATAGAACAGCAATGAACACTGAAGAGCAGGTATCTCTGTAGTAGGATACAGAGCCCTTTTGGGGGTATGTCTACGAGTGGCTGGATCACGTGACAGATCTATTTCTAGCTTTTAGGGGAATCTCTACACTATCTCCATAGTGGCTGCCCCAGTTTGCACTGTCACCATCAGTGAATAAATGTTCCCCTTTCCCCACACCCTCACCAGCCCTTGTCATCACTTGTTTTTTGGATCTTAGCCATTCTGACTGGGGTAAGTTGAAATCTCAAAATAGTTTTAATTTGCATTTCCCTGATGGCTAAAGATGTTTACTGTTCACGAATTTGTGTAATTTCTGTAGTTTCTTTTGATATCCAGCTTTAGTTTTTTTGTCATTGGACAGAGAGAAGGCTGCGTTTTTCTGTTTTCCTATATTTGTTGAGTCTTGCTTGGTGTTCTAATATGTGGCTAATATTGGAGAAAGTTCCAGGGGCTGCTGAAAAGAAAATGCATGAGTGTTTGGGTGGGATGGTCTGTTGAATAATTTGATTTATGATACCATTTAACTCCAGGGTTTCTCAAATTAGTTTTGTTTTTTTTGAGATAGGGTTTCCCTATAACCCCAGCTGGCCTGGAACTTGAGATGTAGACCAGGCTGGCCTCCATCTCACAGAGATCTGCCTGCCTCTGCCTCCTGATTGCTGGGATTAAAGGCATGTGTCAACACATCTGGCTTGTATTTATTTTATTTTATTTATTATTTTTATTTTATGTGTATGCGTGTATTGCCTGCATGTAGGTAAGTGCAACTGTGTCATGCAATGCCCACGGAGGACAGAAGAGGCTGTCGGATCCCCTGGGACTGGAGTTACAGACAGTTGTTAGCTGCCATGTGGGTGCTGGGATTTGAACTCGGGTCTTCTCCAAGAATAACCAGAGTTCTTAACTGCTGAGCCATCTCTCCAGACTCTCTTACTTGTTTTTTATAGACAGAATGATCTGTCTATTTGTGAGGGTGGGGTGTTCAAGTCACCCACTATCACTGTGTTTGGGTCAATCTGGTTTTAGTTCAAATAGTGTTTTATTTATGAAGCTGGGTGCCCCTGCATTTGGTGAATAAATTTTTAGAATTGTAATATCCTCTTGGTGAATTTTCTTTTTAGTGAGAATGAAGTGTCCTTCCTTATGTTTTCTAATTGCTTTTGTTTTCAAGTCTATTTAGTTAGATATTAGAAGAGTTATGCCTACTTGTTTCTTGGTTCTATTTTTGGAATAACTTTTCCCGTGGTATCTATCTTTGATGGTGAATTGTGTTTCTTGGAGGCATCAAAGACATGGATCCTGTTTTCCAATCCAATCTGTTAGTTTATGTCTCTTTATTGGTGAACTGAGACCATTAATATTGAGAGTTATTATTGACCAATGTTTAGTAAGTCCCGTTATTTTGTTGTGGTGTTGTTTTCTTTTGAATAACTACTCTGGAATTGTTTGTATTCCCTGTGGTCTCTTGGGTATGTTTAACCTTCTCTTCAGGCTGAAGTATTCCTCCCAGTATTTTCTGTGAAGCTTGTTTAGTGGTTATAAATTCTTTAAATCTGTGTTTACCATGGAAAGTTTTTCTTTTGCCTTCTGTTACAAGTTTTAGTTTGCTGGATATAATGGTCCAGGCTGTCATTTGCTATTTTGAGGAACTTGTAGAGCATCAGTCCACATCCTCCTGGCTTTCAAAGTCTCCACTGAAAAATCAGGTGTTACTCTGATGGGCCTGCCTTTATATGTGGTTTGGTCTTTCTGTTTTTTGGTTTTTTTTTTTGGTCTTTTTGAGACAGTCTCCCTGTAGCCCCAGCTGTCCTGGAACTCACTGTGTAGACCAGACTGGCCTTGAATTAAAAAAGATCTGCCTGCCTCTGCCTCCGAAGTGCTGGGACTATAGGCCTGTGCCACCACGCCCAGCTTGGTCTAGCTCATTCATGCTCTCTTTGAATGTATTTGTAATAAGCATTTAAAATCATTGTCTTGAGCATTAGCTAAGTTGCTTTTCTCGGGCGACATTGCAATGAGTGTAATAATGTCTGTGAGACATATTGTCTTCGTTATTCATATTGTTTATGCTTTTGCCATGGGACCTAGGGACCTGGAGTTAGGCTGTTGGTGGTGTTTCTTGGTAGGGATATCTGGTCTCATGTTTTTTGAGGGGTATATCGATCTTAGTTTTCTGTTATTGCAACTTGTCAGGTTGTAGACCAGCTGAACGGCGCTTGGTGTTTTGCCTTGAATAGGGTATCACATGTGTTCCCAGTACAGCTGAAAATATTTCCACTTCTGAGCTCAGTAGCAAACCTTCTCTAGAGTTAGAAAGTTCTCACCATGAATCATTAGAAGTCTGTGGAAGGCTCACACAGTTCTACAGGTAGTCTTTGGTTAGCAGGAACTGGAGTATGAGTGGTACTCTCTGGAGGCCAGGGAAAGGATGCCATGCTGACCTCAGGCAGAGGTGGGTGGGTGGAGGCTGGGTTGGGGTCTCTGCCTGGTGCTGAGGTACCAGGACACTTCACAGTTTCTGGGAATGTGTGTGGGCTTGTTGTTGGGGGAGACAGGCTCTGGGAGTGTCTGCAATTATACAGTTTTTTCTGAGCCAGCTATTCTATTTCCTTTGTCTACAGGTCGGTTTTTGTGAAATCATCATGCTATCTTTGTTATTCTGACTTTGTAATACAAATTGAGACTTGGTATTGTGATACCTGAAGCATTGCTCTTTCTTCTAAGGATTGCCTAGCTATTCATGGCGTTTTGTGCTGCCATATGAATTTTAGGATTGATATGGATTCTGCCTCTGCATGAGCATGGGAGGTATTTATTTATTTATTTATTTACTTACTTATTTATTTTTGAAGCTATTGTGAATGGGATTTCCCTCCCTTTGATTCCTTTCTTGGCAAGTTTGCTGTTGATAAGAAAAACTACTAATTTTTGTATATTCATTTTGTATCATGCTACTTTGCAGAAAGTGTTTACCAGGTCTTAGAGTACTCTATGGTGTCTTGAGGTTCTATTAAGTATAGGATCACATGATGCAAATAGGGAAATTTGATTTCTTAATTTCCTTTCTACTGCTTTTATTTCATTCTCTTGTTTATTGCTTTGGCTAAGACTTCAAGGACTACTTTGAACCAGGGTGGAGACAGTGGACACTCTTGTGTCATTCTGGATTTTAGAGGAAATTCTTTTTTCCTCCCGTTTAGTATAATGTTGGGTATAGGCTTGTTGTAAATAGGCTTCATTATATTAAGGTATATTCCTTATATTCTAGATAAGAAAACTATTCTTAGTTTCTTTGGGGCTTTTCTCATGATGGGATGCTGAACTTTTTCTCCGCATTGATTAAATAATCATGTGGCTTCTGTATTTAAGTCTACTTACATACTAGATTATATTTAATGACATATATGTTATGTTGATCCAATCTCGTATTCCTAGAATGAAATCAACTTGGTCATAGTGTCTGCTCTTCTTAATGTAGTCTTTGATTTGTCAGAATTTTCTAATGTGTATTTTTATTGAATTTTGTGCAGTTCATACAACACATCTTAATCATATTTAGACACTCCTTTTTTAGGCACCCCCCATAGCCTTCCCACAGGATTTCATGCATTCTGTCATATATGTTAAGACCTATCAAATCAAGTTTGTGTACCCAGATGTCCCTAGATGTGAGTTCATGTACTGTAGTCTATTCACTAGTCTATTCCTACCTAGTGTCATGCCCTTAAAGATGATCAACTCTCCCTCCCCCAGCACTGATCAGCTGCGAATAGTTCCTCAGCTAAGACTGAAGCATCCTGCCCAGTTATGTGCAGGGTTTTTGTCTGATTGCATTTGCATGGATCTTGTGCATGCTGTTACCATTGTTGTAAGTTCATATGAACAAGCTCCCAGAAGCCTGGGAGACTCTGTTTCCTTGTCGTTGCACACCACTTCTGGCTTGTATGATCTTTCTGCCCCTTCTTCCACAATTGTCCCTGAGCCCTGTTGCATGTATACTAGTCAGCACTCATTAAAAACTGTTACAGAGTTCCACAGCTGGTCACACACAGAGAATAAGTGTCTATGAGATGCCCATCCCTAAGTGACACATCTACAGTGGAACCTTTACACCTAAGGCTCATGGGGCATAGTGGAGCAGGGAGTAGAGAGACTATCAATGCATCTCCCAACTCTCACCAGTGAAGATTCCCCATGAAACAGCAGGTGATGATTTGCCAAAATTTTACTGACAATTTTAAAATCTGTTTCATCAGGGAAATTAGTCTACAGCCTTTTCTTTGTAATATAATATATACTCAAAGGGTTTCTGAAGAGTAAATAAATTAATATATAAAGCACTAGGAATATGGCAACTGCTGTGATCCTTTCTCTAGGCAATACCATACTTTTATTCCTTTGGAGGGAATATTTGATTTATTTTGATTAGATACAAGAGCTATAGGGACACAAGCATTGTCACCCTGACTAGGTAGGGGCAGTTGCTTGGCTGTGGATCATCCGTGGTGAGTTGTGAATTTCTGTCTTATTGGACACTACATGTACCTTTCCATGCTCTCTGTGCTGATAAGAGAGAGCTTCTTCCCTGTGCAGGAAAGAAGCTACCTTTGGGTAAGTTTTCTCTTTTGGAATGGATTCAGTAGATTCAAGCTATAGATCTCTAAGATCTCTATGTGCAGCACTGTGGAGTATTGGAGAACTTGTTGTAAACTGGTCTCTTCTGCACAGTGGGTTGTAAGTACCATAGAGTTGGAACATCAAGCTCTTGCTTGAGATGGCAGCAGGAATCTACTTTATTATGTCATGTTAGAGATCATCTTATTGGAAATTGGCTTATGGCTTTGGGACCATTTGGCACATTTGGAGACCTCGTTTTTCATTGACTACTCTTCTTTAATTTCAGCTGATTATTTACCTTGGAATCAACCAAGACGAGAGCTTCTTCATCCACCACACAAGTATAGACCAGCATCTACCAATTTTGATAACAGAACGACACACCAGGATGACTACTCTGTGAAGGGCCTTGTGAATACCGTGAGCTGTAAGCCTCCAGCCAACCCAAAGCTCTGTAACATTCCCTTGGAGGATCCGACTAACTACAAGATGAGCTATGTAGCCCACCCTGTGGAGAAGCCCTTTGTGCACCAGGCAGAGTTTAAACCCTGTGAAATCCCCTTTGAGAACCTCACCACACACAAAGAGTTCTATCAGGGCCTGAGAGGGAAGCCTGCTAAGAGCACAAAACCTCCAGCCAGGCCCCCTGAGCTAATAACTTTCTCTAACACCACTGAGTTTAAAGATAAGTACCGAGCCTGGCCAACACCCCAGATATATTCCAAAGCTCCCATCACCTATGTCCCTCCTGAAGAGAAGATGGACCTTCTGACAACTGTGCAAACTCATTTCAGATACTGTAAGCATACCCCTGCTCAGTCTTGCCGACCAGTGCTCCCGGTTAAGAAGAGCAGCCACTTTGAAAGCCCCACCACCACCAAGGATGACTACAAGCAGTGGGACAGCATACAAACAAAGCCAATCAAACCCATTCCCCAGCTAAACTTTCCTACTGAGCCTTTGGACTACCAGACCACCACTAAGACCTACTATGTGTCCTACCCACCTATCAGTACCAAAAGCTGCAAACCTGCCTGGGTTGGCCCTCGACAAAACATCCCTGTGGAGGGTCAGACCACATACGCCATCAGCTTTACTCCCATGGAAATGGGCAGGTGCCCAGCTTCATACAAAGAGCCCCCTGGCTACATCTTTGAGGAAGTGGATACTTTGGGCCACAAGATGTATAGGCCAGTTTCTCAGATGGGTTCTCAGTAGAGCGGCTGTCCTTCTGTACACGATGCAGAAAACCCTAGCCAGAAAGAGCTGATGGTGTCAGCCTGAGTTTTTCAAAAATTGCACAATATCTTTAAAATCCAAAAATTGAAAACAATTCATTGAGTGGAAAAAGAATTTCCCAAAATGAAAAAAATGGAAACATCTACCTCATAGTGAAAAACAGTTTCATCACCAATTCTGGGATGTTTGAATAAAATGAGAATCATTTGATTAAAGGAAAATGACATGTAATCACTGACTGATGATAACCAACCTCCTGCCACCCTCCCTGTATTGTAGGACCCTTACCTCATCATGCCCCTTACCTTGTGTTCATGGAATCAAAGCTGATCTTAGTGACATTTTCTGTGATCTAGATCTAATTTAATTTGTATGAATTGACATTAACCTTTGTCAAGTTTGTATAAACTTGTGCCAAAGAATAAACTTGATTTTGGGGGCACTGAACCTGTAGGTTCACTATCATGTGCTGTCCATGTAGAGTGCAGTCTACATGGGACCTTTGGGGAGATTTCATACTAAACTATTTCATCTTGACTTGGGAGGAGTCCTTCGGCCTGGTCAGGCATCTAGTTTGGTTTCTCTGTGCCCAGGGCTGATTCACAGAACATCTTTCTACTTTCCTGAGTGTTGCAGACATCTAGGTCATTGGTTTTAACTTTAAGACCTCTGATGACAAGGAAGGATTCTTATGCCCTGATTTGGGGTTCCCTACAGCTGGGGGGCAGATTACCCATGTTAATTCTAAGACAAAGCGAATGTGTTGGACCCAGATGTCTTGTGCTCAGTGGGGGACTTCTGTGGTTCCTTAGGCCACGGCCGTATGCCCACACAGTGTCTCCGGACAGGGAGTAGCAGTTGGGGCTGCTCCTGGGTTCCACCTCCTAGGGGGTCAGCCTTTATGTGGAGGTGCCGGGCGAACCAAAAGCAAAATGTGTACCTCCCTAATTAACAGACAGGACGAAGGAAAAGGGAAGGTGGGGGTTCTCACACTCACCCATGGGAGAACCGAAGGCACATGTAACACGTAGGGGCTGACTTACCGAAACTTCAGGCAGGGGGTGTCTCGCAAAACCAAAGAAAGTGGGGGAGAGGTGCCCAGGTGGTTGCGGGTGGAGAAAGTGAAACTAAGGCCAATCTCTGGAGCAGTCGATGCACGGCCGGCAGAAAAGTGCAAAGAACACAGTCCAGAAGAGAAAAGCGACTACCACAACGATAGCCAGAACCCAAGGAAGGTCAATGCCCATGCCAGCATGGGGAACCCCTGTTGGGGGCCAGATGTTGCGGGTGTCCTGGGGCCCTCTGGGCAGGGGTAGAGTCAGCATGGAGTCACGATGCAGACTCCGGGAGTCAGGTGAGAAGCAGGCAGTGCGAGCAGCTGCAGAATCAATTATTGCAGATATGGGGCTCCTTATATCCCCCCTCCCGGTGTCCCATTGGTCCATTGATAGGTCATGTCTGTTCCTCATTGGCTCTCTGTATCGGCCATTTTCGCATCAGCCATCTCTGTGTCTTTTGGCAGAACAGCCAGATGTTTTTGGCATTTGCAGCATGCATGTGCAGGTTGTTCAGGCTGCACTTCCTCCTACACCTGAGTGACATATTAGCAAGAATAGTGCTGATTCTTTTGAGTCATGGGTAAAGGAAGGGGAAGAGGAGGTGCTATGGGAATTCCAGAGGCACACGGATCTGCTAGAGGAGGGGAAGAAAGGGATCCTTGGCAACTAGGTAGTTCAGAGTTGTGAGCAGCTGTGAACTCTTCTAAATGCTCAGAGCATGGAATGGATTGCTCCAGGCTATGCATATTTCTGGGAAACCTGGGCCTACTTGTCGTAACATGACAGCTGGGATCAGATCTGTCACAACGACTGACATTGTAATGAACCAGGCCCTGCCTACAGATTTCTTTCTTGAGCCCAAGATTTCACCAATTTTGATTTTAAAGTCAAGTAATGAGAGGTGTTTTTGTTTTGTTTTGAGACAGGGTCTCACTATGCAGCCTGGATAGTCTGGAACTCTCTATGTAGACTAGGCTGGACTCCATTTCAGAGATCTGCCTGCCTCTGCTTCTGGAGTGCTGAGATTAAAAAACATGTGCCACCACTCCTATCTAACTTGGAGGTTTTGAATTAGGCAAGAATTGAAAGATTTTGAGAAGGCTCTCTTCCTGGGGCTGGATGGGCATATGGGTATAGGTGCCACATAGGTGGATGCAGACCGATACCTGGCATACCTACTTTTCTTTCAAGTCAATAGTATACCTAAATATACACACAGCTCTTGGAAACTTGGGAGCAAGGTAGAAGAAGTGAGATTTCAGCTCAAGCCTGAGAATTGGGCTTAGGTCTAGAGCCTGGGTTTTCAGTGAGGGGTGGGTATCGTCTACCCTAGTCTCAATTTGTCCCTACTTTTCATATACTTGGCCCAGGCTGTTCAAGTTTCTACCCCCTTATACCTTCACTGTGAGCTTAGTTTGTATCATCTGAGTTTGGGTCTTTATCATTTTGGCTTGTTATTGGTCTGGGGTCTGGATACCTACCCTTCTGGAGTTAGGAGGCTCAGAGAAGTTAAGCGTATTGTCTAAGCTCACACAAAAATACAAAGCCAACAGGGAATTCAAGTCTTCTGACTTTACATCTGCCTTTCCATGGTTGGATCTGAAATTTCCTTTCACAGCTCATGTGTTAAAGACTTGGTATGCAATGTTCAGTTTTCAGAGGTGGGGCCTTCAGGAGATGATTGGATCATTATGGGGCTAACTTCACCAATGAATTAGTCTGTTGATGAACTTTTAGGTAACTGGGCCTTTGGAAGATAGTAGAAACTTTAGAAGTTGGAATCTAGTTGAAGGAGCTAGATCATTGTGGTTGTGTCCTTGAAGGGTGTTTGTGTCCCTGATCCCTTCCTTTCCTCTCTCTTTTCACTTTTTTCTTCCTAGGCATCATGGTGTAATCAGCTTTGTTTCCCTATATACTCCCCCACAATGACCTTCAGACTCCCACAGGACCAGAAACAGCAAAGCCACATGACTATGGACTGAAACCTCTGAAACTATGAGCCAAATATGTCTTTTTTTTCTCTTAGTTTGGATGCATTCTTAAATTTTTTTTTAGTAGTCCCCACCACCAGATTTCATATATTCTGTCTTCTATGTTAAGATCTATCTAGTCAAGTTTGTGTCCCCTGATGTTCCTCAGTGTGAATTCATTCACTCAAGCCTGGCAAGCCTATCTAGCATTACTCCCTTAAGACCAACTCTCCCTCACCCAGCAGTGATCAGCTGCCAATAGTTCCTCAGCTAAGGTTGGGACTTCCTGCCCACTTCTCAAGTTCTATGCAGGTTTTTGTCTGAGTTTGCATGGGGTCTTGTGCCTGCTGTCACCATTGCTGTAAGTTCATATGAGCAAGTTCCCAGAAGCCTGGAAAACTGTTTCCTTGTGGTCATCCACCACCCCTGGTTTTACACTCTTTCTGCCCCCTTTTCTTCAATGGTCCCTGGGACCTGGATGGCTGAGGTTTAACATAGGAGTCCTATCCCACACTCTGCAGTCTCTTATTCTCTACATTTTGATTGTTGTGTCATTCTGTGTTCATCACCCTGTGTGATGAAGCATGAGGAAGTTTAACTGGTGAGAGTTGAGAGATACATTAGTATTCTCTTAAAATATATCTTTCTTCATTTTAAAAAAGTTGATTTACCTCTGATATTTTGTCACAGAGATGGGAATATATTAATAACATAGATTTAATTTTTGTTGCATCAGTTTTTTACAATCCAAATATTTAATGGAAAATGCAAATAGTGCTAAAATTCCTATGCCAAGTCAGTAGTCTCTACATCCCAGTCTTCCTGCTTCCTTAGATGCTTTTTATCTGTTTTTCTTAATACTTTTTTACACTTTCCATTATTTTAGACATGGCTGCTTTGGTACATTAGGATTTCAGTTTCTGTAGTCTCTCTACTTCTCCCTTTTACTCAGTGTAGTTACATGACAGTGTTTGGTAACATCAAGACAGCTCTTCTGTTTCTGATTGCTAGGAAGGAGAGGAGCTGAAGGATGGGGTTGGGTTGGCTGTTCATGGGGCACTGAGCCTTTTTGTGAGCCCTGCACTGTGATGCTGGTTGTCACCATGGTGGCTCCAGGCAGGGTGGGGGAGCCTTCCTGCTTTGCTTGGCTCACCTGACCTGAAGAATCAATCTCACTTGTTTAACAATCTGGTTTTGTTGCTTTGAAATTAAAATACAACTAATTTTATTAAAATGGTAAATTGATAAATGCAAAAAAGATTTATGCAATATAAAAAGAAGGCAGCAGTAGTTACCATGGGGATTAAAGGAAGACAGTGCTATGAAAAACATGCATGGTCTCTGGAGTCTGGTAGACCCAGGATTGCATCTTGGCCCTTGCTACCCACTAACTATGAGGCCTTGGTTTAATTCTTTAATGTGTTAAAAACATGGATAACAGTAATATACTAAAACTAGTAAACATGGTTTCATAGGTCTGTTGTTTGGATCGAACAGTAGAATAATAGGATATGTAAATTACCTAGCTCTGGCCCACAGAGGATGATGATTGCTGAATTGTCACTGGTGGGATCTACTTGTGATTGCAAGTGTGCAATTTTGTATATGTTACAAATTGCAGTATTGACTATGTGAAATTATCATTTTTGTATATGTATGTGGTGTATAGGTGTTTGTGCACGTGTGTGTGTGTGTGTGTGTGTGTGTGTATGTGTGTGCATGTGCATGTGTGTAGAGGCCAAAGGTTGACGTTATCTTCTGTTGCTCTCCACCTCATTTAAACACTTTTTTTGCTTTATTTTTATCTTATGCATATAATTGTTTTGCCAGCATGTATGGAGGGCACTCATGTTGTGAAATGCCCACAGAAGTTAGAAGAAGGCATTGGGTCCTCTGGAACTGGAGTTATGGACAGTTGTTAGTCACCATATGGGTGCTGGGAACTGAACCT